CCCCCTCCCTCCTTTTGCGAAAACGATTATGTCTTCTTCCTTTATTTTTTCTTTTTCTTTTTGCGCGTAGTTTTCCGTCTTTCTATCTTAGTTGTTTCTTCTTGCATTCCTCGTGTAAGATTTTTATAATTTCACTCTTCTCTGTCTGCTTCTTTCTTTCTCTTTGAGTTTCCTTTTCTAGACAATGTGTTTCACGTGCATACTTCTTTCAAAGATTACTTGTAAATTCGTCCTGAGGACTGACTTGAGGCCAAACGTTCAGCTCTGGTATGGCTTTTCTCGATGTCTGCTAACAGGATGCTAAAGGTCAACAAAGACAAAATGACCCCCCCCCCCTTACCCCTCGCTTTCAGGTCCACTTATGTGCAATGCCATGTTTATTCTATCACCACCCCACCCCCCACCCCCTCTCACGTTCCTAAAAGTTGCCAACAACGACTAACGCTGAAATAACCATTAACTTCTGACACAATTTTGGCATCACGCACGCCCCTCCCCCCTTTCAACCCCAATCCACACAGTTTATATCTTTGGGATAATTCCCTCTCAGCTCGGGGGCACCTTAGCAGGCAGGGTTGAAGCAAACGTCCTCCTAATAAATCATCAAAATTGTGTAAATGAGGGTGTAAATCGTTTACAATTACAATTTACAATTCCAATTGACAATTACAGTTGCCATTTCTCTAAAGGTTCTCTTTTTTCAGGAGCGCCATCTGCACCGCCCACCATTCTACTTCCTGTTGAGTTTGGGGGTCACAGATCTGTCACGCGCAGTCTTCTGCGTACCAGTAGTGATTACAACGGTTCTGCATGGCTCTGTCTGGAGGTGAGACTGCTTGTCTGTTTGTTTGTTTGTCAGTCTATAAGATGTCGTACTATCGACAAAATTTCGTCGCTGCGTGTGGACATGATGTTCTTTTAAATGTTTACCGAGGTCAAATTTTCCTGGGATTAAGGTGGGGGGGGGGGTGTTGTTGTTTTTGTTGTTGCTGCTGTAGTTTCGGGATTTTATTAGTTTTGTTTGTTACCTTTTGTTTGTTCAAGGTGAAAATTAATTGCACCTGGGGAGACAATTTAGGATATTATTTTCCTGACCGAGCAGTCGGGCAGCGTTCAGGAGACGAGTAAAATTAGGAACCCCTGGGGATCTAAATCCCATACCACGATGTGAAGGACAAATTCATAACAAACTACATGATATGACCAGCGAAAATGAAGGGATGTAAAAACAAGAAATTGCAATAAGGGTAATAGCCACCATAAGGCAGAAACAGTCACACCGGACTCATAGAATACAGAAAGTCTCTAAGATACTCTTATTATTTTCGGGCTGTTGTTGAGGCAGTCGAACGACAAAGGCGGCATTAAGGCGTTGATTAGAGTCATAGAAATACCGTAAGTTGAAGAAACAAGCCACTAAAGGAAATCTTAATATCACTGACCATGCTATCATGGAAAACAATTTAAAATCGAATATAAGAACGAAGCAGATGCGAAATCGTTTCATACCAAGATTCTTATATGACAGAACACAAAATGCATGCACTCACTCACACTAGACCATGCTGTTCAGTAAGCCAAAGGATGACGTCACAAATAACAATCACCCTTCACACTTTGAGAAAGAAAGAAATGAGTTTTGTGGCATCAGCCAGGAAATAGCCATGGAAAAGGTTTTTCTAAAAATGCGCGACAGCGAAGAGAGAAATAGCACGGAAGCCTTCAGAATGAATGCTTTTATGCCCAAATCCTGAAATTGAATTCCCTTCCTAGACGTTTGCGCACTCGAGGCTGAATCTGCGTGTCATTTATTTCCCTCTATTAAACTCGTTTGATTTCATTGCTGTTGATTCCAGTTTTTGAGGACCGGATAGAAAGACAGCGCTTTTAAATCCATGTAAATTGGGATTCTTTTATATGCTCGGAAGACAGTTGCCTTGTGAATTCGTGTCTGAGAGTTTTCAGTTTTATGTTGTCTGTTACAGATACAATTTTGCTTCCGGGTTTCTATTTTGTTTGGGTTTTTTTTACTGTTTTTTTTTGGGGGGAGGGGTTGTTGTTGTTGTTGTTGTTTTGTCTTTGTTGTCGTTGTTGTTTTTGTTTTTGTTTTTTGGGGGGGGTTTTAGGGGGGTAATAAAAAAAGGGGCGGGGGTAAGACTCTAAGAGAAACATTCAACTCCTGTCAAGATGCAAAGTGGAGAAAGCGCTTGGTCCCCTTGTGAGACAATAATCTGAGAGGAGACGAATTCCAGGATTTGTGGGGAAAAAAATAATGTTCTGGCCAACCTCGGGTCAGATTCAGACCCCACTGAAAAGCATAGTAAAAAAAAAAAAAAAAAACGCCTGCTTATTGTTTAATGCATATTGTTATAACGTTTTTAGATTAATCTAAGCCAGTTTGAAGGGGAGCTGTCCTCAGTTCGGCAATATGTTTTATAGAGGCTGCAAGCAGCTACACTATAATTAGTTTGCGCCAGCGTCTTAGGTGTAGCAGTTAACATTAAGAACCTTACCGTTGCGCGCACGAGACCCGATTTCGATTCACAAGTTAGGATAAATTTTATCCAGTGTCTTGGTGTCTCTGGTAGTATGTTGTATCCCTCTCAACCCGAGTTAGCCCCGACAGGCAGGGTCGATGTCCGCCCACCTCCTAAATGATCTAAACTGTGTCGATGGGGGCGTAAAGCACCTACGTTAAAAAAGCTATTTCTATTAGTTTGCTAAACATTTCCATTTCGCCATGGTGACCTGTAGTGCACAAAATGGTATTTTTTTAGTCTGATAGGAAGTAAACGATGCATTTCCAAAAAAGCAAGAACAGACAGATATAGAAATTCATTCGTACCAACTGCAGTGAGGTTACTGAACACACAGTGCTTCAAATGAAATAGAGAGAGAGAGAGAGAGAGAGAGAGAGAGAGAGAGAGAGAGAGAGAGAGAACGAGAAGGTGGTGAAGGTGATCATTCAAAATAAGTCAAGTGAAAGAAGCGATCAGCCATGCATCAAATAATGCTGTGCCTAAAATGAGTCCAAGCGACATCTCTTGATGTTTCAATAGCAACTCTAATTTCTCAAAGTGTGCATCCCACACAATTATTATCAATTCCACACTTACAATATCTATCGTAACTCGGGTTTTTTCAAATATAACAGTAGGAGTAAAACATTGGTGTTTCACCGCCAATTCCATGAACGATACCTGGAATTTCAGTTTTAAGTGCATTTTCACAATATTATCACACCACTCAGGGTTTTTTTTACATGTCTTGTATCCCTTCCCAGAGCCTTGTACGTAACATTAAATGTTTTTGCCTAACCCCGGGTTACGATAACTGCTGCCTCGTGACATAATATGTGCTTGATGACGTATTCGTCGATATTTATATCTGCCACTTGTTTTCGTGACCAGAATGGGTATTAACCAAACATTCTGCTACTGCAGGGGTATATCAAATTCTATTCTTGGATTGCTTTTAAACTCTATTAACTCTGACACATCTGGATAGCAACGAGTTTGGCTAATAATCCCAAGTTTAAGAAGAGAGAGGGTGTGGAAATGGGGCTAAATCCTTCTTGTACTTCACGAATAGCCTTATTTCCAAAACCATGCGTCTTCCGCACTCAAAGAAGATTTAAATTTTGGTGTAGCATGACAATAATCTTCACTATTATATGAAATAATGAGTTCTGTGTGATACACTATTTCGATACTTAAAAGAGATCAAAATGTTTAATGAATTTGCATCCATTTCTTACAGCAAATCGTTTCAGCGTATCTGTATGTTTTTTTGTATACTACCCTTACTGCTACTACTACTACTACTACTACTACTACTACTACTACTACTACTACTACTACTATCACTACCACTACCACTATTAATAATAACTTATTTAGACTGATAAAAAAACGATGATGATGATGATGATGATGATGATGATGATGATGATGATGATGATGATGATGATGATGATGATGATGATGATGATAGCCTCCACCCACCTAACAATCATGTTGTTTGTTTCTCATTTCCCATCCTTCGTCCAGACACGGAGACTCAGCCTGCAAGTTGTTCGCCTTCGCCACGTCTTTCTTCGTGTTCAGCTCCGCCTTGTCTCTCCTCGCCATCTCCATAGACCGCCACGTCTCCATAGTCTACTCCAAAACCTACCGGCGACGCGCTCCGGGACTCGCCAACCTCGTGGTGGCTGTGGTCATCTGGCTCGTCGCTTTCTGCGTCTCCTTCCCACCGGTGGTGGGTCTGGGAGAGTACGTGTTCATTCCCGGGGAGGCGCAGTGTGCTTTCCAACACCGTCACTACTCCCACAACGATTCCGTGGCGTCGGTCCTGGTTTTTCTCGCCATCATGTTCCTCGCCTACTTCCTCTACTTCCGGATATTCAAATTCCTGCGCGCGCATCGGCGCATGCGCCCTCTGCAGCATCAGCCAGCGCAAAGTTCCTCCTGGGCGTTTGTGGGTCCCGGCGCTAATGGACAAGCTTTCATCAACTGGCTGAACGGCTTTGGAGGTCAAGCTCCGATACGCCAAGGCGGACAGCGAGCTGTGCAGAGACTCAACTTCGGCCGTGTAGTGAACTTGTCTACAGCAAAGAACGAACACTTGACTCGCCTTTTTCTTACGCTTTCTCTCATATTCGGAGCAATGTGGACTCCGTATGTCCTTCTGTCCTTGTGGAGGATTTTCGGGGATGCGTCTGTACTGCCGGACGCCTTTGTCACTGTCGCGGCGTGGCTGGGCTATGGCCAGGCGGCCGTGTGTCCTCCAGTCTACTTCCTTAGTAAAGGGCCCACTCGGAAAACTATGAGGACCGTTTACTCGCCAGCTGAGAAGAAGGAATTTCTTCTGGAGAACAAGATACGGAAATAAAAGTGAGATTATGTGATTGTAATGGTTTGTGTTTTACACGGCTTTCAACACAGTGTGGTTTAGTTAAAAGACGGAGAGTTACTTTATCTGCAGGTGTCATCATTAGATGTGCATGGTTGCAGTTGATGCATGCTTCATCAAGGGTCTCCACTCCCTTCTATCGTTTGTTACAGCAGTGAGGTTACATAAGATAAGATAGATAAATGTCACTGTCCATCTACAAGAAAATTCAGTTCAGCTTTACAAATGACAAAAACTTACAAACATAAATACATAGAGTGTGATGTAAAGCGTGGTTATGCGCTGTGTAAGTGGAATTAGTATTATTTATTATTATATTTGCATTCGCCTTGTAAAACTTGATTACTTCTCAGAAACACCATGGAGTCTGTTACAGTACAAGAAATGAGTGGGGGGGGGGGGGTATGAAATGGGCTGGTCAGAATGGCTGTGCCATTATGTTGGTTTTAACGATTATATAAAAAAGAATAGACTACCATGATCGTCAGTGTCTACTCCAGACCTGACATCTGAAGAAGACAATAAAAGGAAAGCTTCGTTGGCTTGGGTGGGAAACATTATGAATTAAAATTATAATATTAGTTAAAATGAATCCGATGAAAAGTTTAATTTAACATCTCTCATTCTACCTTCAATATATGTATTTTCTTCCAGCTTCTATACCACAGGTTTATTAGCACAATACCTCAAAACTGCGTCAAAAGGCTGTATACATCCTTACACCTTTAATGTTGGGAAGTTTCAGTTTCGGCCTTACCTGCTGTCACCGACACCGAGACCGCTACGTTTTGGCTCATTATGATTAACCAGGGTTATTTATTGCTTAAAAGATTTCTCGATAATGCTCAAAAGAAATCAAAGTTTATTTAGTTTGAAGTTTTGTTTTTTTCTGTGGGGAGAGCTGGTTGTCGTTCCTGGCCAGCTCGCTCCATCTCAGCCCAGACAGGTCCAGTGTAATGATTGTGTTGAGTGTTAACTGTTATACCGAGTGCACACTGCCAATCGAATTCCGTCGAATGAGTCGAGTCCAGCCAGGTTTTCCTCCATGGAGGGGCACGAGCTATCGTTTCCACAAGATACGACTCGCAACCTTGCATAAGAATCGAATTTGATTTTGAGGGTCACGGTCGAACTCAGCCGAATTCAGTGGAATAGTACCAACATGGTAACTTTTGCTCCTCCTTTGAGAAAAATCAAGCTGGCCCCAACTTAGTTATACGAATTCAATAGGCAGTTTGGCTGGGTATGAATGTCGACCGTGTGACAGGAAGAAATGATTTAGGCTCAAAGCACAGAGCTAGGTAAAAGAAACAGAAGGGGCACTGGCACCAGATGTTAATCCAAAATGTGTGATAAGTTACGGAATTTGATGAAATTACATCTTCTTTCACCACGGTCTCTTACTGGTATTATTTTTTCACAGTGGCAAAGAAATCCTTCCTTATATCTCTAGCAACGCTGCGAAATACGCAGGCGTTGCCAAATTCATGTACCTTAAGCTTGTATTTATTTGTTGATTTTTTTTTTCTAAATTCTCTGTTTTTCACACACAATCCCCCTTTTTAAACATTCTATTAATACCTTTTTCTTTTACACATTCATGGCACTGTCGCTTTCCTGTAAATGTGAGGGGCGAAAAATTCTTAGTTTTGAAGCAGTCCAACTGTATTATGAAGTTACTTTTCCAAGTGTGTCCATTCAAAGATCGAGTTCGATTGTAAGAACAATAACCATTCTGAGAACCTTATTGGACCTTCTATCATTTTTCTAGTTCTGTAAGGGGATTGAGTGTGTGAATGAAAGATGCAAGAGGCCAAGTAAGCTTGTCGATAAACATAAAGGCAATATATTCTTTTCGTTTTTCATCGTTGGAAATTGTAGGACACCACTCCCCAGCTTTTATCTTTATTATTGATTTCAAAATAACATGAATAGTGTTTCTTAAAATGTGCACTCGAGTTGTGACTATCTGCACCACTTTTTATGTGTATGTCTGTAAGTAAATATCTGTATGCATTCGAAAGCTTGGGTGTCTGTCCGTTATAATGATTTATAATATTTGGCAAGAAAGTAAAGTGTGCGAAAGAAAGAGAGCGAGAGAAATAGAGAGAGAGAGAGAAAGAGAGAGAGAGAGAGAAAGAGAGAGAGAGAGAGAAAGAGAGAGAGAGAAAATAGAGAATACAACAGAAAGAAAGAAAGAAAGAAAGAAAGAAAGAAAGAAAGAAAGAAAGAAAGAAAGAAAGAAAGAAAGAAAGAAAAAAAGACAGACAGACAGACAGACAGACAGACAGACAGACAGACAGACAGACAGACAGACAGACAGACGGGATTTGACGTATGCCTGTGATATTAGCCACTGCGCACTGAACGCTACCAGGGACCAAAGTTTCGGATAGAGCAAAAATTGAAATTATTTTCTCAGTCTCGTTTCCCTTAAAAAAGAAAGCTAAATGATAATATGTGGCTTTACATCTTGCCTCCTCATCGGCTCACACGCTCCCTTTCACTAGTATGGACGATCAGAAAAAGAAAATCCAATTCGTAGTACGGGAATACTTTGAGTGAAGGAAAAGGGAAAGTCGGGGGGGGGGGGGGGGGAGAGAAAGACTGGAATTTTTTTTTTCTTTTCATCCCTTTTCTTTTTTTTTACACCGTTCCCACGACACAGCTTATCATTGTTGACTGCAAAGAAGCGTAAAATACTCCATTACACAGCGAATATTGGGATAACTCACCTTTTTAAAGGGACAACAGTGTTATAGCTTTTTTCTATCCCCAAAAAACACTGTTGTGCATTTCAACCTCGGTAACAAAGACTCATTCTTTCCTTCGTGAGCACAACATTATACACATGGTGGGGGCGGAAATGAGCCCCGGCTACGATTTTTTCGATCAGCGGACATTTTATTCGCCTGACGTTTTCCGACTGGCAGGCGCGATTTCCGAGACAGCGGAACTCTGTTGAAAGGAAGGCATCGCTCAACATAGTTTGGACATTTGAAAAGAATCGTTACGAGAGGCTCTAAAAACGGAATATGAAATAGCGCGCTGTTTTGATCTCAAACACACCGTGTTATTCTTTTCTGTCAAATCGCCCTTATTAATCTATGGAAGCCGGCAACATAAGCAGCAGCAACAGCAGTACAGACATTAACAATGCCAATAACAACCACAGCAGTAGGCTACAAACAACAACAACAGCAAGAGCAACAACAAGAGCAACAACAAGAGCAACAGCAGCAACAACAACAGCATCAGTAGCAGCAACAACAACAAGAATAGCAACAACAACAACAACAGCAATCACAACCTCAGCAAAATGAGGAGCGGCAGTAGGAGATGTATTATATCATGCACTACAGTGTGTTGATTTTGATATTTAAGTATAGTATAACGTATAGGAGTAGTTGCTAACGAACTGCAACTCGACAGCAGCCAGGGTGTGGCAAATAGTGAAACTACCGGCGTCTGTCATGTAAAGATTAGCTGCTTCGCTATTGCAAGCGAGAGACCCGAGTTCGATTCTCGATTTGGAAGAAGTTTGCATTGAGAATCTGTCTTTTTACTGTGTTGTTATATCACTCTCAGCCCGGGGTGGCCCTGGCGAGCAAGGTAGGGTCGGTAACCTGCCTCCAATATGTGAGCAGCGTGGTGAAATCAGGCTCTCGTCAAATTTTAGGCATGTAGAGTTATTGGTATCATCTTAAAGCTTGTTCACTTGTCTTTATTTGGATGAAAAAATATCCATTTATCTTGAATACAAGTCGAGATATTTGCGAATGAATGAGGTGGGGGTCACCTGTTTTCAGAGGTAAACTTAGTGAGAAAACGGCCGCCAAAGATTAGTTGTTTCCTTATCTTTAGAGTCCGCGGTAACTGAAAATTTACATTTTTTGTGCCTTTAATAAACATTTTTAATGAAAACCCACACAGAAATGAGTTCTTTAATGAGCCAAAAAACAAAAATTTGATAAAAGTTCACAAACCTGCGGAAAACTGCAAGTTTCTTCACTTTGATTATTTTGACGAGAGCCTGATTCCACCACGCTGCCTCACATATGATCTGAATAGTTCCGACGGGGGCGTAAAAATACCTAGATTTAAGAAAATAGTGAAACTAAAGAAATAGAAAGAACAAACCACTGTTAATTAAGCGTCCATTAACCACTCTAGAGAGTGTGTACTTAAACAAGCAAACCAACAAACAAACCCGCGAGAGAGTGAGGGAGAGCCCAAGGGGAAGAGGAAGGTTCGATAACCTATGTGGTCCTGCTGGACGGATCTCCAATCAAATCATAAGGGACCATAAAATATTATACAGTTGGACTTCAAGGTGGATCCTGAGCAGAAGGGAGGAGCAAGTACGGACATGTTCTGTCTGCGTCTGCGATGATCCCAACCTTGTGGACAAGTAGACAAACAGACAAACAAACAAACAAATAGAGACATAATGTGTTTATGTGTGAAAGTGGTTGCATGTGAACATTTTTGTCATGTTTTTCACCGTAAGTGTATTAAGCACAATTAATGTTTACAGTATTGTGAATTGAAATTTTAAATAAAACTGTCCGAATCTTTCTCAAATTGTATTGGTCTGATATTTGTCTTGCTCGTTACGTTCTTGTTTTTATCGTTGTTTAATTCACCTAAATAGGTGTATGCCTCTAAATGTTCTTAGTAATAAATCTCACATCGGACCTATTTTCCAAAGAATGGCCTTCGGTGCAGAATATTTGTCTATCTAAGTTAACGATTCTATTACAACTTTATTTTACAAGTTCATAGCATTGTTACTTTTCCTGTAGTGTAAAGAAGCGAATAAGTCCTAATTTCATTCGTCTTATTCTCATTTTTACCTGTCTACTTGTTTATGAATTAATTGTTGGGGTTTTTTTTAACTTTTGTCTCTTTAAGGGTCCGCCTATTTATTAATCGCCCTTCCATTGACTTCCATCAAAAAGAAATTTGCCCCTCCCCCCCCCCCCCTCTCGCATTTGGAACCTTCTCCACTCTCTGTGGGGGCCACATTTGAGTCGCCATAACGACGTCAGCGAAAGACTCTATTAAGAAAACGTGAGGAAGAGAAGAGGGGGGGGGGATAAATTAACTTTTACAACATTCTATTTCCCTCCCTCAACTTTCTTTCTTCTTTCCTTTCGTAATTGAAGGCAAAGACAACTACAATGTAGGAACATACAACAAAGCAAAGGACTGAAAAGGTTGAGTTTTATTTATATTGCACGTGAACGTTTGCAGTTTAGAGGTTATGCACTCTGTCGTCGCAAGTAGATGACCTGAGTTCGATTCCCACACGACTTTTTTTGAGTATCTCGGTCTTTCTGCTGGGAGATCGTGCCCGTTGGCCCTGACATCTAAATTGTTCCGATGGGGGCGTAAAAACACTTCGACTGCTAAGTGTGTTGTTTTTTTATAGTAGAGGGTTTTACGGCGCTCACAACTGCATAAGGTCATATGAGCACCGCTGCTAAGTGTAAGACTCCTTCATACTACGTCAATTTTCAAAATGGCGTATGGCGGAGTCATACACCAAGCAGTCGACTTACTCTTTAAAAAAGGAATTTATTCTTGAATTTTAAAAAACGAACAACTCAAATTTATGCTGGACGCAAAAAGTCGATTGCGTGGAAGGAGAATAAGCAAGTTTTCCTCCGAGTACCACAATTCTCAAACACATAATGTACTGCAGAGACGCACAATGACATCTGAACAAACGACGGTCACAAGGCTGGAAGTCTTCACTCCCTCGGCACGTAGATTGGAACTGTGAGTGCGCGAAAGACAACATAGTCCAGACGATGACAGAAATAGGCCACAAATGGATGGAAAATAAGATCATTAGACCCACAGACGAGGCAAGAAGACAGACGATGATGTCGCAGTAGTCATCTTAAAGGTCTAAAAAGTGAGCCATATTGCCTTTCAGAAACCCGTAAACGTATTCAGTGTTTGCGTGGTGTTTAGGGTAGGGTTGGGTGGGGTGGAGGGGGGGGGAGACAAGGAGGATGCAGTATTCGAGATTGGTAACTTTGGCAATGTTCAATGGTGTTATCTGTCATCCATTGTTTGTTGTTTTTTTTATAGTAGAGGGTTTTACGGCGCTCGCAACTGCATAAGGTCATATGAGCGCCAAGGGGTGGGTGTCAACAGAGAAGTCTTTACAGGGAATCAGACTTAGACTGCTCACCTCTCTAGCATCCATTGTTTTGTTCCCACATATGAAGGTAGGGCCTACATGTAGTAGTCATTCCTTTTTCAAGTCAAATACGTTTTCTAAATGTGTGAGTTAAGTATTGTTAATTATTATATGTGTGTAACTGTTTCTGCTAAGTAGATATCCCTCCCCCTATGTGTTATCAAGCCAAGTAGACTGAGATATGAGTATGACTGGGCTACTATGAGATACAATTCAGCAGAAAGGACGAGATTACTTGATAAAATATTTTTTTCCCGTTGGGATTTGAATCAACGCCCTCTGTGAGCAAGGCAAGGGCCTAAGGTAAGACAAGGTACGATAATATGATTAGATAAGATAAACTTTATTGATCTGCGAGGGAAATTTTGGATGGAGATACCAGAACATCAACATAATAAAAAGAGTCAGTATCAACATAGAAATGCACTCAGTACATTCGTGTTCAATGAGACACAAGCAGCGATGCACAACTGAGTCACACATTATCACTACACCACAACATCAGAGCGAGACAGTGCATCAAAGCAATAATATTACGCACTACGTAAAGGCATAAACGTTGATGGTCCTCTGTCATAAAAAAAGATAGATTCTACAGCTCCTGTGGCTTTTCTCCCCGCCATTCACACACGCGCGCACAAACACACACACACAGACACACACAGACACACACAGACACATACGCACACACACA